TCACGCTCCTCAGAGCTGCCCCCTCACGCTCCTCAGAGCTGCTCCTCACGCTCCTCAGAGCTGCCCCTCACGCTCCTCAGAGCTGCTCCTCACGCTCCTCAGAGCTGCCCCCTCACGCTCCTCAGAGCTGCTCCTCAGAGCTGCCCCCTCACGCTCCTCAGAGCTGCTCCTCACGCTCCTCAGAGCTGCTCCTCAGAGCTGCTCCTCACGCTCCTCAGAGCTGCTCCTCAGAGCTGCCCCCTCACGCTCCTCAGAGCTGCTCCTCAGAGCTGCCCCCTCACGCTCCTCAGAGCTGCTCCTCAGAGCTGCTCCTCACGCTCCTCAGAGCTGCCCCTCACGCTCCTCATATCTGCTCCTCATGCTCCTCTGTTATAAACCCAGGAGTGTTTGTTTGGGAGTCTCTAAAAATATTGATCAGAGGATTTTTTTTTTCTTTTGTTGATGCTGAGACCCAAACCTGCATCCAAAGCTACGACTTTCCCACTCGCCATACCCACACAATTCTCCACAACAACTGATTTTTTTCTACTACACCCGGCTATGCTCTTCTTCTTCTTGTTTACTACTGGTGGTTGGCTTTGGTCGCAGTACCGCCACCTTCTGCTCTGGAGTGAACACGCTTCGCCTATGAGAAAAAGGAGCTGCGCATTAATCGAACGCAACACAGGCGAACTGAACCGAGACAGTCGAACCGAACGGTTCGGACGGTTTTCATAAACCATTCCATCCCTTATATATGCATATATATATATATGCATATATATATATGCATATATATATATATATGCATATATATATATATATATATATATATATATATATATACATTTATTAGGGGTGTAAATCACATCCATCATGGCGATTCCATTCAGTATCGATTTCCTGACCCAACGATTCGATTATTTTCGATACTCAAGAATACACCACGATACGATTCGATTAATCGGTTTATTTATTTTATTATATTTTTTTACACCTTACAGGCTAAACAAAGTTTCAAGTTTGAAATAAATCAGTGAAAGCTGTAATATCGTTATGCATTTTTTTTTTTAGAAACAACAGCAAATAAGTAGTAGCTTTGCCTCGTCTGTTCCTGTTTGGCTGTGACGTCATCCTGGAAAGAAACATCAGCTGTGCTGCCTCCATCAACACCCTTGTTTATAGATGTTAGAGATCGGCCTGTTTTCCAGTGTGGTCCTGTTTCTCTGACCGTGACTGAGTGGATGTGCTCTCTTCGTCCTCTGTCATGGGAGCTGCCTTGGAGCTCGTCTGCCTGGCTGTGTGTTTCCTGGACGGGGCCGCCTTTTACAGTTGCTTTTTCTATCTCTGCTTCTGTCTCCTTGAACCCCAGTTGGCCTCGGCAGATGGCCGCTCACACTGAGCCTGGTTCTGCTGGAGGTTTCTTCCTGTTAAAAGGGAGTTTTTTCTCTCCACTGTCTCTACAAGCATGCTTAGTGTGAGGGATTGTATTTGAGTCAAAGAGTCAATGCAATCAATTGGTTTTCCTTAGATAGAAAACTTTGTTTCAATTTGACTGTATGATCTGGTTGAACTGTAAAGTGCCTTGAGATGACATGTGTTGTGAATTTGGCGCTTTCTAAATAAACTGAATTGAATTGAAGTAGAAAACTTGCATCAAAAAATAATGCACAAATACTGCAGGAAATCAGTGCAATGAGTGCAATTCAATACCTCGGCTCCAGACGTCCCCGCCCTGTTGAGAAACACTCCGCTGCACTTCTCCTGAATTGTAGCTGACCGCAGACAGGAGGCCAGCTTGGTTTGCTTTTATGACAGAAATTGCAGAAAACAACTCGTGAAGTTTGACCCGCTAGAAGAGCGAGGTGCGCGAGAACGCTGGGAGCCTTTTTCCACCTGGATCTCCTCTCTTTTTGGCCCTCATGTCCCTCCGTCGTCTGACTAAACTCGCCCCCACCGCCTCACCGCCTCGGCCGTATCTAGACCCACAGTGTGTAGCTCAGACCACGCTTCAATATTGAGCCTAATTTAAAAATGTCTGTGTCAAGCTTACTGCAACACACTGCTCTAAGAGTATAACCAGGAAGCGCGGCAGGAGGGCAAAATAGGTTTAGCGCCACCGAAGCACGGGAGGGAGAATTACACCCAGGAGCAAATGGATAAAAACAGACCGGAGGAAAAAAAACAAACATGAATCGATTATCTTGCGGATGTGTCGGTGCATCGGATCGTCGGCTGTTGGATCGATGCATCGATACAAAACAATTATTATTTACACCCCTAATATATATATATATATTCAGAATATTTGTCCATACCGAATCAACATCCAATGTAGAATATTATTCTTTTTTTGGAACCTCAAAAAAAACTGCCACCCGCCCCACCCACTCTCTCCATGTAGCAACACATGTAGTAATATTACATTCAGCATTTTCCATATTTTTGAAAGTCCAGAATTAAGAGAACAGGATACAACAAAAATATCAGAATAATGGAAACAAGACAGTAAAGATCAATACTGATCAGTGTCTCAGGTCTAATCTGGTTAGGATGGAGTCTTTTTTTCTGATGTAGTGGTTCAGTGTCATTGGCTCGGCCTTTATATAACAGGGCATGTCGTTTTCAGCTGCTTCCACCTCATTTGGTAGTCACACAGACATTTGAATATGGCATTTTCATTTATTTTTGTGATGCTTTACATGATGCACCACTGTTACAGCCACAGTTTAGGATTGATTTAATGTCTGGGTTTATATACATGGTGGCAGCAGGGTTAGCATAAGTGTTCAACCTGAGGGAACTGTCTGCTTTCCATCTCGGAGACGTCTGGCTCCTGCTGTGAGGTTCTGAGAGGTGGCTGTAGGCAGGCTGAGGAACGAGGCGTTGTTTGGCGGTATGGAAAACAGAGCTAACAGTGACAGAGAGGGCCTCATTATCCTGGTTCTTGGTAATCATTGGTAAACATGAAGGAAGAGAACCAGGAAGTGATGCAGCGTTTTCAGAGAGACAAAAAAACTATGGATATCAGATGGAGGGAGCTTTAATAAATTGACTTAAATTCATTTCCAGGTATCGATGCAGTACATGACCAAAAATGTAAATATTGTCCAGCTGATGGATCGGTCTCTCTCTAGAACCAGAGGCAGACCTTAAGGCGAATCGCTGAGCAGATCAATACGTCTTTTTCTCTGATTTTCAGCCTGTAATGTTTGAAGGGAGGAGATGGCATCAGACCGTGAACTTCTACATGGCTGCTTAGGTTAAACCCTCATCCTGTAAAACGCAGCTCGCACGGATTCTCCTCACATGTATACATGGGGGATTTAGGTCTGCTGAATATTAGATTTTCTGCTGCTTTTTCCAGCTCTTTTAAAATGTTAATGATGGAGATTATATCCCATCATAAACCATACAGAAATTTCTTTGTTTCTAAATATTTTCCCTCTTTATAAATATCAAAGAGGGAAAATCAATATTAAAGATATAATAATGTTTTTTCTATTCTAGTTCTCCTCCTTTATAAATCCTGTTATTAGAGGTGAACCTTTAACCCGTCCAAATACTGAAACGGTTTAATTTCCCGTCATGGGGACAATAAACGTTACCTTATCAACATATTAACAGGAGTATAAAAGGTTTATGTGCAGCTTTCCTCCACTTTGAAGGATGTGGATCAGCCAATCAGCTCTCTCCATGTCCTCCATCTTCTCAGCTTCAGATCTTCTTCGTCTCACTAAAACTTTATTAATGAGGTAAAATCAGAAGTAATAATGTTTTAAATACTAAGAGCTTCTCTGGTCTTCAGTTGTCATGTTTATTTCCACACGACTGCTGTTGACCCAACCCAGCTGCTGCTGTTAGACATTTGGTTTAAGACGACTAAAACTCTGAACATTCCAGAGGATTTAGACCTTTATCATTCTGTGGCATTAATAACCAGTGGATGTAACCTAATGCTGGCTAACAAGTGGAGATGGTGTGAATTAGACAGTCATAGACGTCTCTGCTGAGCCTCCATAATTTTAATCTCTCCAGCACATTTAAAAAGGGTTCAGTTAGACTGATCTGCTGCAGTGCAGTGAACTCTGTCCTATTGAGGAAACCAGTTTTCCTTCTGCTGATTGGTAAGCGGCCGTCAGACATCAGGTTATGACCGCAAGGATAAAAACGAGGCGCCCAAATTGTTGAAGAAAACATCCATCTCAGCTTCACGCCTTCAGCAGCGGGATGGAAACAATATCTGATTATTGTCAGAAAAATCAAGGATGAACATTTCTTCAGTTTGTGATGCTTCAGTTTCCTGTTCTCGGTTTTTCGCTGAGTGTTTTTTATCCTGCTGCTCTACTCCTTTCTGCTCCTCCGTGTGGAGCTTTCAGATGTTCTCCACATCCTGATGCCATTTTGATCCAACCCTGAAGGTGGGGTCTGTCAGAAAGCAGGTTCTGAAACCAACAAGTATCCAACATCTGAAGGGACATAAATCACCTTCTGCTCCCTCTTCTGACGCTCAGTTTGGACTTTAGTGATTGTTTACTATACCTCAGCTGAACCAGGTTATAATGAAGGCTCCATCTGGACCATCTGATCAATCACCTGCTGCTCAGAGAAAGAAAAAGCAACTTTCTCTGTCCTCCAGCAGTCTAAGCCTATAGCAGCATAACTATAGAGATAGCTCAGGATAACCTGAGCCACTCTAACTATAAGCTTTATCAAAAACCTAAGGTTTAAGCCTAGCCTTAAAAGTAGACAGGGTGTCTGCCTCATGGGCTGTTAGGAATGGATGATTGTCCCGGTAGGATCACATGTTTTTAAAATACCAAACATGATGCCTCAATGCAGGAAGTAGCTTTTATGTGATTGGCTGGCTGCCCGTCATGTTAGCGGGTATTTGCTGGCTTAACAAAGCGGCGAGGACGTACCTCAGTGTGAACAGTGATCAGATGATCAGACAGCTTTTCCACTGAGAAGTTTCAGGCTTCAGGAAGTTTTTCACATTTTTGAATCTTTCTTTTTGTCAGGGAGTCGCTGCATGCCATCACTCAGAAGACAGGAACGCTGTTGACCTTTAACCTCCACAGAGAGCTTCCAGTAGAGGGACAGGATGCCGATTCCTCCGCCCCCTCCGCCTGGACCCCCACCACCCCCCACTTTTAACCAGGTGAGTGGATCTGATTACTGGAGGCTAACAGCCTGGTTTTATGGCGGCTGGAGCTGGAACGACCTGCTGGTTGATCATTAAACCAGTCAGAGCTGTTCCTCTAACATGCTGTCATTAGTTCTCTATGGGGAATAAAAACAGGAAGGCCGCGCTGACCCCTGTGTTTGATCATCATGATGGTGTAAAGATCAGGGCTTTCTGCTTTAGCTCAGGTTCCTCTGCAGCCAGTCCAGCCTGAGGGAACATTAGTGACGGTTTTTCCTCTTCTCCAGGCCAACACCACTCCTCCTAAGCTGAACTCATCTGAGGTCAAAGGCCGGGGAGCCCTGCTGTCAGACATCTGCAAAGGGGCCAAACTCAAGAAGGTCACTGAGGTCAATGACCGGAGCGCTCCCATCATAGACAGTGAGTGGCTTCCTGTATTTATGCCATTTATTGCTCAACAATGGTTCATTTACTCCTGATGTTCAAACGTCTCCACAAACTCTGAACTCAAATAAACATTTAGCTTCGTTCAGTCAGTCACATGTCTGCTGATCATCATCTACAACTTCCTGCTCCTTTTAAACCTCCGCTTCCCTGAACCGCTGCTATTTTCACACCTATAAAATAATTGACCTTAGAGCAGCTGAACCAGGAAAAGCAAACCCAGTAAACTGCTTTCACTTTTGGTAATCCCCACACACACACACACACCTAATCAGGTTGTGTTTTGTGTCCATCTGATAAAATGACACCTTCTGTTGTTTGTTGCTAAAAGTCTTATTTGATTTTAAACCGAGACAAGAATCACCATCAGTGTTTAGTTTATGGCTGAAACAATCAGATTAATCGATTATTTAAATAATTACCCAATTTAGTTATCAATTAAACGTTAACTAGAGTATAGAGACTGTAAAACATGTCTTTAACTGACATTGACCCACTTAGAGCAGCAATTATAGCAAGATTGTAAAAAAATATGCAACGTTTTGCTTTTAAGATAAAAAAAGTTTTTGTCTGTCAATCTGCTCTATCCAGAACTCCTCAAGTGGAAAAGTTTTAGATTCAAATAGTTAAATTTCTTAAAAAACCTTAGTTAAGGAAACCTTTGGCTGTCGATTATGAATCGAAAAAATTATCTGCAGATTAATTAATTAGTAAAATAATCATTAGTTGCAGCCCTAGTTTAGCTCTAACATAAATGAGCTAATTGAACAGGGTTCTAAATGCAGCCCTCTGTGTGTTTGTTAAAAACAAAACGTAAAAGGCAGAAAACTTTAAAATTGAAGATTTTGTTGGTTCTTATGATAACTGGTAACTTTCAGGCCCAGATATTTAAACTGCCTCATGCTGCATATCACTGACTAATTTACCTCATAAAACATCTCAGATATTTCCTTTTAGTCTGTATAATTAAATATACACTTTATTTATTGTTTCGACTTCATGTCTGAAATTTTCTTTATTTCTGGAAATGCTCATATTGGCTCTTTATAGCAGAGCGATAATCAGCATCTTGTCTGTATCGTTGTATAAGGAGCTGTAATAAAACAAAGGATCCTTTTGTTGCCTGCTGGCAGTGGAAGCTTCAAACCTAAAAAACATCAAGGAAATAAATCTACAGCTTTAAAACAAAGCATGTGTAATAGAAGAGTTCACCTAACGTGGCCGTGCTCCGTCCACTGAGGTTAGGGTCCTCTGAAGCTGCAGCTTGTTTAGGATGACTGTTCAGAGATGCCATGACGATGTCCTAACAACAATCCCCTGTGACTGTGTCCGATCAACCGCCCTAATCCCTACATAGGGAACTATATAGTGATTAGGCTGTTTTAGATGAGTCTATGAACGTCTAGTGCAGGGTTAACAAATAGAAAATCAGCGATTCCAAATAAAGAAAATCATCAACCAGTAAAGGTTTGAAGACATTTTAATTATAATCTGTTACTTTAAACAGAATTTAACACTGAAATTAAATGACGTTTTTATGCAGCCATCTTATACACTGAATTTTTAAAGAAAAAAAAAGTATTTCCATTTTAAAATCTGAAGTGTTTTTTGAAGCAGAGAACAGTCATTCATGTATTTTATAAAACACCTCAACTGACCGTTCTAAAGCACATATCAAGTAGCTCATTTTGAGACTGGATCCATATTTATTGTTGATTCTGTTCATGGTGGAGAATCCTGCTTCACAGCAGCAGGTTGAGCCAAACATGCTCTAAATGTGCAGGGTCCGCTCCCGTCCGGCCAGGTCAAGATCCGCTATTGCAATCGCACCAAGTAGGAAAAAAAATGTAGAGAAGATCCGGTTTGTCAAATTAAAATGTAGTAACAATAGATCAGTAAATACAAATTAGAGCTTAGTTCTTAAATATTTCAAAAAAACTAACATAGTTTATTTAAAAGATTGGATGCAAACTACTTGTTCTTGAACAGACCAGGAAGCAGATTTCTCATCTCCATCAGAAACTGAACATATGCTGGATGCTGGAGGGGATTTTTTTAATATGTCATATTAAATTAAACATTCTTTTTCACATGTTTTGCTCCTACGAATTTAATAATATCGCTCATGAGAAATTAGACACTGTCATCGGACAACATGTAGTAATTTATAAATGTTTTAAATCAGGTTGGGTCTGGATTAGCCAGCAGGTGGATCTGGATCCAGACTCCGGTCTGCTAATCCGTGACCTCTGATCTAGTGGATGAAAAAGTAGTGGACTCAAAATAATGGTCACGAGACCAGCAGATGTATCCCAGAATGCTTTGTGAGAGCTCTCCTCGCAAAGAATCATGGGATTTGTTTGGACAGCGGCCAAAAAATAACAAAGATGGGAGGGGAGGCAGAGTCACATGACCAACAGAGCATAAAGCAGTGATCATCTGTCTGAACGGTCAATTAACCAAGTTCACTATTAAGTCAACTATATAGTCCCCGCTCTATATAGTGATTGAGGGATTTAGGGGTTAGGGCAGACGTTCAGACACAGCCTGTGTCTCACCTAGCCGCCGCTGGCTAACGGTGATGAGCTTCTGAGCATCTGACCTGTGCGATGAGCTTCACAAGCAGCTGCTACTGGAGTTGGAAAATTGTAACTTTAGCGTAGTTTAGGAGCTGCTTTACTTCCCTGAACTCTTTAATGACCAAAACTTCCTGGTCCTCTCAGTCTGTGATCACCTCTGCTGATTAGGCACCATTTTTCTCCACATCTTAAAGCTGCTTTGATTTAGGACTAGCTGACTGGTTGACTCTTTAACAGAGCCGTTCCACCATAAACATGCTCTGATCTGCCTCTTCTTAAAATCTCTTCAGCATCACAGAACCAAAGGAGTTCCTGTAGATGAGAAAAAGCTTCCTTTGCTCCACATTCGGTGCTCTGAGCCAAACGCTCTCTGTCCTGCAGAGTGGAATCAGCCATAAAGCTGCAGGATATGCAGACGGCATACTAAACAAACGCTCCGGATAGTTCCAGACTGAATGCATCCTTAGACGACTGCTTGAGCTCCGTCCAATCAGAACCTCCTCCTCCTAAATACATTTGAGCTCTGACTGACAGACGGTGTAATCAGTCTGAAGAGACGGATCTGCTTTAACATGTCTGTTCTTTTTACCAGAGAATGCAGGAGGAGGAGGAGGTGGAGGAGGAGGAGGAGGTGGAGGGAGCCATGGAGGAGGTTATGGAGGTGGAGGTCCAGTTGGAATGGGGGGGCTTTTTGCAGGAGGCGTGCCAAAGCTGCGTCCAGTTGGAGGTAAACCTGAGAGATTTCTGCTCATGTTCATCTTTGTTTATAAATGAAGCTGCTTCCTCAGCCTTCCTTTCATTGGTTCATGTCTTCTTCTTCTTCTTCATCCTGCAGACGGTACAGTTGGACGATCTGCCCTCCGGCCCCCGGGGTCCCGGCCTGCGGCCCCCCGCCCCCCCGGCGGTCGCTCCAGCTCTCCGTCTTCGGCCCCCAAGCCGCCTCCACCGGAGCCTCAGCGCTCCCACCGCCCCTCTCTGCCAGACATCACCCGCCCCCCCAGCAGCAGCAGCAGCAGTCCTCCCATTGGTGGGATGAAGCACAGCAGCTCTGCACCGCCCCCCCCTCCACCCTTCAACAAAGGGGGCCGGGGTAACGCCCCCCACACCCCAAACCACAAAGTGTCCTCCTCCTCCTCCTCCTCAACGTCTTACAGCAGAGATAAATCCCTCCCCCCCACGCCCGGCAGAGGCCCCTCCTCTAACGCCAACTCCAAGGCCAGTCAGTCTTCCAGCAAACCGCCGAGCGGCGGCTCCTCCAATCCGCCACCTCCTCCGCCATACAGGCCCCATAACGGCTCCTCTCAGGTAGACGGGGGAGGGGCCCCGGAGCTTCCTCAGAGAAAAAACTCCTTACGCAATAAGCACAGATCAGGAAGCGGCGGCCCAGGTCGCAGCCAGGCACCGCCACCGCCCCCCCCTGCTCCGGCTCCAGCTCAGCAGTCGGCCAGCAGACCCCCACCGCCTGCCAGGGAACCGCCTGGACGCAAAGCAGGTAACAGCAGCTTCTCCTCCCTCCCAGCAGAGCTCCATCCGCCTCAATTCTAGCTTCACCTCTTTTAAAGTTCCTATAAAATCTATAAGGAACGATTTGCTCTCTGATTATTGACAGATTAATCTAAAGAATTATGGATTAGAGTGATAACCGTTGGTAGCAGCCATGTTTCCCTCAAGCTCCTTGGTCCCAGAAGTGACCAATAAAATGCAAAATAAACTGTTTCCTGGACTCTAAAGTAAACCTCCTCATGTTGTTTGCTGACGGCTCCATAAATCTGCGATCTGCTGTGTTTTATGCTCCTCACATGATGCTAGGCTGCTCCTCTCGGCCTCCTTCCTGCCTTTTGTTGCTAAGCAACCAGCAGGTTGGCTCCTGGCCTGATTTATTTAGAACTGTGACTCCTGACTGTTTCCTGACCAAAGCTTCCTCCTCTCATCACAGGGTCCCAGTTTCCTCCTCCCAGTTCTCGTAACGGTGGCCGAGACGCTCCTCCTCCTCCACCTCCTTACCGTGGGCACGGTTCAGGGGGCTCAGACCCCCCCGGCCGCATGAAGCCTCCTCCTCCACCCTCTTCTTCCTCCATCTCGTCCTCCTTATCCTCCCGGACCCCAGCCGGACCTCCTCCGCCTCCTCCACCTGTGCGTAACGGTCACTCCATGGGTTCCTCCTCCAGATCCATCATGGGTGAGTAGGACCACCTCCTCCTTCACAGTTCTGACGCGTCTTTAACTGTTCATTGAATCTGGAAGCTTCTCTGCTGAATCTAGAAGTTTCCTTTGAATTTCTAGATCTACCAGAGAAAACCCCGTTTAGAAACGTTTCCAGGAATACGCTGAAACCAGCTGGTGTTTTAGGGCGAAGCATGTCGTCCTCCATCCAACAGACACGTTAAAGGCAGGTTTTTAAAGCTCTGAACCAATCAGAGATCAGCTCCTGTTCCAGATTTGGAGCTGGATTTATTCTTATCATGCGGCTGATTCTTCTCTGGAATAGATGAGATTATTAACTGCTTTGTCTGTGATCTAGATGGGATGAAGCTGACCGCCTTTAGCAGGCGTGGATAGTCAAATAAATGCAAACCAGGCTTTTTGTGTCCTGCTGTTCTGGATAAATTCACTGGAGCAGCAGTTCTTAGAGAACTAAATCTGTTCTTGCTGTTTTATCTGTACATGTAATTTTGATAGTTGGGAAAACATATCCTCATATTTATTGATAGTGTATCGTGACCCAAGAATTGTGACAAGTAGTGTATCACAAAACCCATGCCAATACTCAGCCCTATTACCCGCCACATATCTGAATTAATAATCATTTAAACAACTATTTTGATTAATTTCAGACGGAACTATTCACATACTTGGATTATATTAAACTGAACTTCCAATATCAAACACTGTTTGGCGCCATTTCCCTTTTTCCTCTGATCACGGAGCAGCCGGCTTGCTTGGACCAATCATGTGATATCCAAGGATAGATAGGATACAGCAGACCCATCCTTCAGAACGGGCAAAAAGGAGGCCGCATAACAAGGAGTCTTTGAATCCGAACAGACCGCGGCGCCGCGCTATGATCTAATCGACCTACGAATCTGGCCTTTGGAGGACGCAGCCTCTGAATTTGAACTCAGTGATGCTCTTTACTTCCAGGCCAGTTCAAACGCTCACTCTGGCCAAATGTGGTCCATTTAGAGCCATGCTGGTTTCCATTGGATGCTGGAGCCTCTTCCCTATATCAGACTGAAGGCCTTTCTGTCTCAGAGGGTTCTGGGTTCAGACGCTGCTGTCAGCTGCCTTCATCGTCTCCCTTTATTTGTCCACCAGCCTCGGGGCTGTAGGGAGGGTTTACTCAGTCTGACCAGAGGATCAAATGATCAGAATGAATCTCCGGTCGATGTGTGAACGTCAAAATAAAGACCTTATTTTTGTTGTTTCCTAACCAGCTTCAGCTTTCTAACCCGATCCCTTGTTTTTCTTTTCTCTCCTCAGATGACTTTGAGTCAAAGTTCCACTTCCACCCCATAGAAGATCTTCCTCCTCCTGAGGACTACAGGCCCTTCAACAAGGTTTATCCCAGCAAATCTGACAGGGGTGGGTCTGCGCTCATTCACACTCTGCTTCTTCCAGTTTATATCGATTGCGCTCACATGGAGCTCAGTGCTGAGGGCTAACAATCCGGTCTTTAAGATGGGGTGAAGAGATAATTAATGAGAGAAACTTTCTTTTTTTTCCCAGCGAGGACTGAACAGTTTTATTAACGAATGGCAAAACGTTTATTTCACCATAGCGCACCATAGACCAGTGAGTCACAGCGGGACATTGCTGTCTTCAATCAGAAGCTAGAGAGAGCGTGTTCTTGGTTTTATTAATGAATAATCATTATGACTGAGATGAGTAGCATTGCTCTAAGCAGCTCAGTGGGATCTGAGTGGCTTAAAAACAAATCTAAAGTCTAAATGGACGGGTTTGGATAAGAAAACAATTCAGCTTCTGTCAGGAAGACAGACATAGTTAAAGTAAAACACGTTCTCTTTGAGGGAAATGCAGAATAAAATCACAAGAGAAAACAGTCACTTTACCCTCATCTGGAGTCACACAGAGCGCATAAAGCAGACTGAGACATAAACAGTTAATTAAACATTTCAATAAACAGAATATTGGACCTATAACAGGAGTTTAGACAGACAGAAAAAGGATAAAGAGAAGTAGCGATCCTCATTGAGCCTAAAATAAAAGAGCAAAACGGAGGGACAGAGCAGGAAAGCACAGATTATATTTCTCTCCCCTCTCTATGAAAAACCTCACAGATCTCTGAGAATCTCCTCTCTGCCTCAGCCAGTAGCCATCCTGTTAAATCCGTCCCTCAGCCTTTAATGCTGCCTTTTCCTTTTCTTTACACCTCGTTCCCTTTATGTTTTTAACTAAATCAAACCCTGGTATAAGGAGCAGGTTGGTAATGAACTCAGGCTTTGCTTCGCAATCCCACTTCTTGTTTCTTTGTGTTTCTTTGTTTTTATAAAACCTTTTCAAAATCAGACCCGGTGTTCTGTCAGATCAGCATACCCATAGTCAATAGCAGTGTATCCATTTAGTTTTGTATGAAAAGTACACTTTAAAGTACCTCAAAGGGCGTGTATACCTTTAGTCATGCATGTGGCAATTTGACCTTAAAACACATGCCTATTGAGGTAGTTTAAAATGTACTTTTCATAAAAAACAGGACTAGCATACACGTATACAAATCTGATGTCTTGCTCATGCGTATTGACTATGAGTATGTTGGAGTGATGGGGTATGCTGATCTGACAGAACACTGGTCAATGCAGGATATTGTTTCAATCCGTGCGGCACTGGGATAGAAGTGGAAAAATAAGCACAGATGGGGATCTGCTGTCACTGAGTAGGAAATTTATAGATGCATTTTTCAGTGTAAAGTCTGTATTGTACGTCCACAGCAGTTCAGTTAATGCAGGTTATTCTCCTGATTATCAGCAACAGATTGCTAGCAAGGCTGCAGTAGAATCTATGAATATGTTTAGATGCTGATGTCAGCTGATGTCATCGGGCTCCGTCTGGTTTAGAAGCTGAATCGAGTCACTAAAGGGCTGGTTATCCTCCCGGAGCAGTGAGTCACAGTTAAATTGTTGCAGATATTTTTGATTAATGCCTAATTTTGAAGCGTGGTCTGCCCTGCTATTCCACGCCACAATGCAAGAGGGACAATCACCAACTAGCTGTTGTTGTCAGTTTGACGAGCTTGTTCGCCGTCTACAATCCCTCATCCAACGCTGGACGACACACAGTTCACCTGTGAGTGTTCCCCAAAGACTGGAGCTGCGTGTTTTGGCTTCGGGTGCAAACCAACAGACCGTCGCAGAGCTACAAATAAGCGTACTGCTCAGTGTCTGGGATGTGTCCGAGGTGTGCCAGGCGTTGTGGGCGGAGCTACAGCCAGAGTTTCTGCCGTTAGGAACCGTATCTACATTAAGTACAGCACAAAGACCTGGTTTCTGAGCATAAACCAGCCGTTAGACCTTATCTACTCAGTGGTTAAAACAGGTTGTTTTAGCACCTGCCACCATCTGTAGAGGTTCAGTCACCATCATCCCCATCTTGATTTTTACCGTCTGATGAGGCGTCAGGCTCAGAAAGAAGCAGCAGCCCCTGCATCACCTGTTCCTCCTCTGGACTTGAAATAACCTCACCTGACAGAGATTCATTAATTCAATTCAGTTTATTTATATAGCGCCAAATTCACAACACATGTCATCTCAAGGCACTTTACAGTTCAACCAGATCATCCAGTCAAATTGATACAAAGTTTTCTATCTAAGGAAAACCAGTTGATTGCATCGACTCATTGACTCTTCAGCAATCCCTCACACTAAGCATGCTTGTAGCGACAGTGGAGAGGAAAAACTCCCTTTTAACAGGAAGAAACCTCCAGCAGAACCAGGCTCAGTGTGAGCGGCCATCTGCCGAGGCTGACTGGGGTTCAAGGAGACAGAAGCAGAGATACAGAAAGCAGCTGTAAAAGGCGGCCCCGTCCAGGAAACACACAGCCAGGCAGACGAGCTCCAAGGCAGCTCCCATGCCAGAGGACGAAGAGAGCACATCCACTCAGTCACGGTCAGAGAAACAGGACCACACTGGAAAACAGGCCGATCTCCAACATCTATTAACAAGGGTGTTGATAGAAGCAGCACAGCTGATGTTTTTTCCAGGATGACGTCACAGCCAAACAGTAACAGACGAGGCAAAGCTACTCTGAGGAAAAGCAGAGAGAGCAGAAGGTTAGAGATTGAACTAACAGCTTCTGCAGAATAGGAGAACAGAGAGAGAATGAAGCAGAATGATGAAATGGGGGTCCCTATGTCCTCCAAAAGTCTAAGCCTATAGCAGCATAACTATAGAGATAGCTCAGGATAACCTGAGCCACCCTAACTATAAGCTTTATCAAAAATGAAAGTTTTAAGCCTAGCCTTAAAAGTAGACAGGGTGTCTGCCTCACAGACTAAAACTGGTAGTTGGTTCCACAGTGTTTGCTATCGCTAGCCATTTCAATGTGTAGATCCGCCATGTTGGCGAGCCAATGTATCAGAGAGACGTCACACTTCCAGGTTCAGTAAGGCAAAAACAAACGGAACCAGAAAAGGTTTTAATTTTACTCATTAGTATCTAAATATCTAAAGAGTGTAGTGATTGTGATTAATGACAGGGGAGCACTTTCAATAAAAACTTTCATCACATCTTTGAGTTAAAGTCAGTTTATAAATGAGTGAATTTTCCAGGAACTAAACCTCAGCAGGGATTCTTCTGAAAATCTATAATCTTCTGAAAATGTGTCAGATTCCATTATAACCAGTTCAAACCAGTCTGTTAGCTCTAATGGAGCCACTTTAGGTTGGTGAAAATGGTTTCAAATAATAAGCAGAAACGGTTTGGCTTCAGCTCCTTTGTTTTCCCTCCAGCATGCCTATAAATAAAGACCCTGCTAGATTATTATGCTACAGGGATTAACTATTAAACCTGGTGGGAGGAACATGCAATGATTAAAGCAGGTTTTCTGCACTTTAAATAAGATTATTATGCGTTATTCACTGAAAATAAGATGATGGTTGCCTTCTCTATTTTAAAAACAAATCATTTTATTCCATTGGCATTTTTTTTACTTCCCAGCTCAAAATAAGGAAAAATAGACTTATTTAAAGAAAACTTTATCTGATGCACTTTGATCTGATTTCTTTAAGCCTGATAGTTTTTTTAAGCTTGAATAAAAGATAATTTGGTGAAACTTCTTGGAATTCTAACAAATATTTTCTTAAAAGAAGAAGTTTTACAAAGTTCAACTGTCTGGCTTCACTGGGTAATTTATTGCTGCTAATTAAATTTTTTATCTAGATATTCATAACAACAAATATTAAATCCAATAGTTATTGTTAATATTCTATTATTAATGTCTATTGTTGCTCAGTATATCAATCTATTGGCTCAGATCTCAGGCTGGAAGACTTTGATCTAAAAACTGTCTTTTGGAAAAAGTGTCCATCTGACAAATTGTTTTTCTCTTGTTTTGAGCATGTTTGAAAATTTCCCAATGGAATAAGCTAATTTATGTTAAGAAATAAGTAAAGAAACTCAAGGATTATATTCCAAGTGCATAATATATTTTTAAGGCAATTTAAAAGGCATTACTCATCAACTCAATTCAGTTTATTTCTATAGCGCCAATTCTCAACATGTCATCTCAAGGCACTTTACACTTCACCACATCATCCAGTCAGATTGATTCAAAGTTTTATATCTAAGGAAAAGCAGCTGATTGCATCGACTCATTGACTCTCAGCAATCCCTCACACTAAGCATGCTTGTAGCGACATGGAGAGGAAAAACTCCCTTTGAACAGGAAGAAACCTCCAGCAGAACCAGGGTCAGTGTGAGCGGCCATCTGCTGAGGCCCACTGGGGTTTAAGGAGACAGAAGCAGACATAGAAAAAGCAGCTGTAAAAGGCGGCCCCGTCCAGGAAACACACAGCCAGGCAGACGAGCTCCAAGGCAGCTCCCATGCCAGAGGATGAAGAGAGCACATCCAGTTAGTCACAGTCAGAGAAACAGGACTACACTGAAAAACAGGCCAAGCTCCAACATCTATAAACAAAGGTGTTGATGGTAGCAGCACAGCTGATATTTCTCTCCAGGATGGAATCACAACCAAACAGGAACAGACCAGATGAAGCTACTATGAGAACGAGAGCAGAACGTTGGTTAACATTACTACTGTTATGAGATCATCTTATTTACCAGCTCAGACTTTGACCATTTATAGGTCAAATTAGCGTTTTTGATCACTTGCATACCCCTTACAAAGCCCCCCCGTCCCTCAGTGAGGTCTAGAATCACTAGATCTATATCCAGTCATTCAGCAAAGATGCTGCTACATGGCTGTACATCCTATTGTGGCTTTTGACTAATTACATGAACCCTTGAATGATAAATTACCTACTGGAAGTTGAGTTGACGGGGGGGTTAACAAGTCAAGAAAAAAAGGTAAAAAGCTAATTGAAATATAGTAAATATAGTTAATAACCGTAGTTAACAGTAATATTTAGGTTTATAAAATAAAAAATGTTAGTGCCAGTTTCAGCATTAGTGCCTCTAAGGTTATGTTGGACTGAAAAAAAAAGATGTTTCTTTCACTCGGTTTTCATGAATTTCTTCTAGAAACACTTTTGTTATTTTTCTTAATATATTTGGGAAGTTGGCGTTTCTTATTATTACATTGACTTTAATTTTTACCACCAAAATATCCACATTTTTTTAATGTTCCAAGGGTAATAAGGTTTGGTCCTGGATTCCAGTAACACGTTTGGTTTGAAAGTTAAATTGTTCACTGAGTGCTCCAGAAAGAGTTTAACCATTTGACCTTATTTTTTGTTCAGTTTCTGCAGTGAACTAATCGCAGGGAAGTGTGGAGTTTATGTACATTAAAACGTTTATGTTTTAAAGCTGCTGAATAAACCTCTGTCCCTCCTCTTCCATTATTTAAAAAGGCTCAACCATTCAACCCCAGTTTTCACCTGGTGCGCAGCAGATAGACCTCCTCTTTGCAGCGGCAGCCATGTCAGCCTAACCAGTTTCTCAAGGTTAATCATTTCAGTGCTGTGGTTTAACCTGCGGTAACCCCCCCTCCCCTCTGTGCTCTCTGATCCCTGCAGCGGTGAGAGGAGCTCCACCAGCGCCGCCAGTGGGCAGATGAACGGCCTCAGCTCAGGACTGGAACTGTCGGGACACAATGAGCCATTAGGGAGCGGCGGAGATGCATTCAGTCTTAAAAACACACAACGTAACGCTAACGCAGCCGGAAGCACAGCGGAGAACACAGAGGAAGGGTCAGCCGCTGCTGCTGGCCGTCTCCATGACAACCAAACCTGCTCCCTGTGCTTCCCTGCTGCTGAAGTTCCACATATCAGGACCAAACTCTCAATCAGTCGCAATATCTGCTCTCATTTTTTTTTTTCTACGTGGCGTCTGTTATAATTGTCTGTTTTTAGTAATGAGGGGATTTCTTTCTTTCTTTTTTTGGTGTCAGATTTACTGTGTTTAGGGAAACAAATGGACTCTAAATGGAAACGATGTCAGAATGAGTTTCAGTTAAAGCCGCCGATGATTCGTTTGGATTTAGCCTTTGTGCAGCGTATCCGTTCCAGTGGTGCCAAGCCGGCGGCTCTGCTATCGTTTATAGATTTTCTCTGCGTGCCAAAAGCTTTCGGCGTCGTTTTGGTTTCTATGCAGCCTCCGCTTGTTGAATGTTTGCTAACGGATGGCGGATGGAGAGCTGAGGAAGCTAGGCTCGGTTTATGTTTTTACAGCTAGAGAAAGAACGCTCTCCTGGTTTTGGTTCTTCTTTGTTTCCTTCTTTCTGAACGTTCGTGTTTCCACCTTCAGGCGGTTTTTGCACGTCACTCTAACCGCCACGCCGACACTGTGCATGATGCTGACATTTATGCACTTTAGACGTTAGGATCCCTCCTCCTCCAATCACAGAACAAGAATCTATGGGATTTCCCACCAAGGCTGAACAGAGCTCTATAGATGTATAGAGTCTAGAACTCTAAAGCACTTTATCTTCACAGATCCCAGACGTGTATCTCTGTCTTTTTGGCCGTTAATAAGCCGGCTGCCGGGATTCCAGCTGCTGCTCTAATCAGGCTTTCTAAACACCAGCTGAGGATGTTTATAAGCTCAGTCTGAAGCCCTCCTGCTGTTTCTGCCTCCAGAAGCTTACTTTTCTGGCAGTAGAAACAGAACTGGTTCCATTGGAGATTGAAACTGGTTTTGGTGGGAAGTCCCCTTAGCTGCAGGTTTTGGAGGATCTGACAAAGACCCGTTTGTCGTTTGTATGGGAAATCTTTCAGGAAGTAAATCTAGAAGCTATTGGTCCTTTGTTTCCGTTCCCTGCTGGCGCCTCGGAGACACTGTGGTTTTTTTTCTATGCATTTTGTGATGGGTAGGAACGCTAGCGGCTAACAGGTTGAACACTAAGTGCCAGGAAACGGATAGCTGGATGTTTTTAATGATCTGCTAAAGTTCACTTTAAGACACTAATGAAAGCAGGATGGAGGTTAGCCGCTTCCTCCTGCTGCTCGATGCCTTAACGCCAGGCCAACTTCTTCTTCTTTGGTACTTTTTCTATGACGTTTGTCTTTTCGGGTGATGGCCAGAAACAAAATAAGAAACTATTTGAAAATGCAATAAATATTGTATATTTACACTAATGGTAATCCTAATTACTGCTTTATTTTTGTGCTGTAAGGAGTGTGTTGTATAGGAAAGAGTGGCGGTGTTGTAGCAGCTCTCCGTTTGTTAGGGGCGGCCGGTAAACGCCTGGATGCATGAGAGATTTTTACCGCCCAGTTATTTTGGGTGTTTGATTCCTGCAGATCCATCAGGATGATAATTCAGTGAAGAATGGTGATCGTTATCAGACCTGCACTTTCACTACTGGACGTCAGTCACCTCCACCCAGTGATCGGTCACATGTTTCACTGAACAGCCTGCGCTGGACACTTGTTAATCAATCATACATGTCTCTCTCTTTTTTTTTTTTATCATCTGAAGAAAGTTTAATAAAATACATTCCTGTTGGGGGATAAAGGGGATCAGACTCATTGTCTCCTGATTTCTCTGCTTGGTTTAATCTCCTCTGTATCCTGATTAAATGTATTCATTTTATCAAAGACGTTCGCTCTAAGAAGAAAGGGGACACTATTCAAAGGGACACACGGATAAAGAGAAATGATAAAACATTTTAAAATAAAATGGCTTAAATAGAAACCCAAAGAAGGAGGTGGAGAATAAAGATAAGATGAACATGATTTAAATGGTCAATTATAATACTGTTTTAGTTTTTAGCTACGGTGGATCAAGCAGGATGGTGTTGAAGATAGGCTCTATGTTTACACCTTGAAGATCTATCTTTCCGGTTCTTTTCCCTGAAAAGAGATCAATCTGGACAAACTCTTAAATAACTTATATGTATTAAATAACCAGGAGACATGAGAACAGATTCTAATAGAAATTGTAATCTTAATCAGATCAGAGAAGTTGCTCCAATTGCTCCATTGGCCCCAATTAACAGTTAAAAAGGCTTTTTATACATCTCCAGTCTAACAATGGCGGCCCCCTACACATCAAAATAATGCAGACCTGCAACTAATGATTATTTTAACAAATCCATTAATCTCTCAATTATTGTTTAAATTGATTAACAATCATCAAAGGTTTGCTTAAAGAAGATTTATTACTAAATTAAACCAGGTGAAACTAAAACTTTCTGCTTGAGTTTTGGATAGAGCAGATTGATAGGAAAAAGTTATTTATCTTAAATTCAAAATGTTTCTATATTTTCTTGCAATCTTGATATAATTCCTGCTGTGTGTCGCTCTGTCAGCTAATGGAAGGTCTTACAGTCTCTATACTCTAACTATCATTTACTAAATTGTTTGACGATTATTTTAATAATCGATTAATCTGATTGTTTCAGCCCTAAAAGCTCTACACCTCCGAAACCACACAACTAAAAAAGAAATATAAGACTGTTGTATCCTTTATTTTCCCTTTGGCATCAACAAAACATATTACATGATCTAAGAAACAGAGACGTTTATTAGATTTCACTGAATAAATGAGGATTCAGACGATTTGTCTAACAAGTCAGATTTAATTGCCAGCAATGTCTCACTAAGATTATAATCTAACATTGGAAAGCTGCTGCTCTACTAATGATACAATACTAAACCTATCCTGATGTGGTTTAGTGCTTTTTATAACAGGCTTTTTATGCAGTTACATATTTTCTGCAAACTACCAGTTTGAAGGCTGCAGGAGGCTTCTGGACTAAATGAGACTTTAGTAACTACAAGTATAGCATGGATGTAGCTCTCATTTGAACATTTCCTCAGTTTTATCCCTGCTGTTAGCTTCACTTGTGTTACCAGTGATGACATTTTGTGCCGTGTTAGCTGGATGTTCAGATTACTGAGGATCATTATAGATTAGTAGATTTTAGTGGCTCCATCTGTCCGGTCCATCAGGGTGAAATGATCCAACTGGTTGAACAAAGTTTCTGCAGCAGAGACCAACATTGATGCAGACAACCAGAGGCCACAGCAGCCTGCATGGACAGGGAAATATTAATCGATCAGAAAATATAAGAGTTTATTGATCTCATGGTTATTCCAGGGAACCTGTTGAGATCAGGTGTAGTTTAAACAATGAAGCGACTCCTCGCTTTACCTGAAGAGGGAAACTGATGGATGGGAAGGGATTCAAACTTGGAAACCAAGTCCAGTGGATTTTTTTATTTTATTTTATTTGGAATGACTGTGACCTGGATGAGTGAGAACCTTCACCAGCATAGAGACTAGGAAACAGCAGGATGAGGGTCTGATTCTCAGAAACCTGATCAGCTTTAATATTAGCTGATCAGCTGTTTAATAAAATAAAGCTATAATTTCATTATTTATGAAGACAATAAAACATCAGCAGTCAGATGAAGGATCCACCACCATCTGTCCCCAAGGGACCCCCCCTCCCCTCCCACCTTAATAAAACAAACTTTGCTCATCAGAAACTCAGAAATGTTCAGAAGCGGTTTTCTTATCTGCATTAATTTATAATAATTTAATCAAACCTTTTTTATTTCTAACACCTGACCGTATTGTTGTTGTTTAAAGACGCATTAAAAGGACAACACCTGTGCAGGAATCCGCCAAAATCAAACTCCCGCCACCAAACTGCGTCAGCAAAGCGGAAGTGTCGCAACATCCGCCTCTAACGCTCCAGCCAATGAGCATCCCGGAAGCTGACGCGGTGACCAATCAGAGAGCGTCGATGAGACTTACAGCTGATTAGAGGGAAGATTTGGCGCAAGTTTGGAGTCAGTTCGACAGAGAAGGTTCTGAGGAGGAGACGGATTCACAAGACCCAGAACCAGAACCAGAGGAGCTGCTTCATTCTGACCGCCTCCAGGTTGATCACCGCCGGCTGTCCTGTGAGTATCGCAGCGGAGAGGGAGGTTTGATCTCCGGGAACCAGACAGAGCTGCTGCTGTTTGGCGCCATAATCCAGGCCTCTACAAACTTTTATTTATTAAAGCCGCGTTTGAACTGCTCCTTTGTTTCACACATAATGTGTTTATTTAACTTCTGAAACATTTTATTATTTCACCAATTTTGTCTAAACTGGCTCCAGAGTTTAAGATGAAGCAAAGCAAAGCTGGACTGAAGCGTTTTATCTGCTGGTAGCATCTGAACCCTCTGACTAGATGAAAGGGAATCATGAAATAAAACTCATCTGTTTATCAGTAGAGAGGGATTTTAATCCTAATCCAGGATCATTTCAGTTTTACTCAGGTTCACTGATCAGAAGTTTGAGCTAAAAGCTGATCTGAGAGCAGCTAGGGCCTCAATTATTTCTATAAGTGTGAAATTAAATCAAAGCATTTGGCCACAACATTTCATGCAATATTAATCCCACTAACTTTTATTTCATATTTCTTATTGTGTTTACTTTATTTTTAATCAGGGCTCTTTTCCAGCTCTATGCTGCAATGATTGATTAAAGCTTTCTTTGTGTTGGATTGTAATCATCAGTGGGAGGAGATGGTTCATTGTTTACCTGCTCAGCATCCTTACTAGGGGTGGGTATTGGCAAAGAAGTCATGATTCGATTCGAATCATGATTCACATGCCACGATGCGATTCTATCACAATGCATCACGATACTTGAAATATTGCGATGCATCGCGATATTTTCACTGAACACTGTAAGAAAAAGATCCAGCCCTTACCAGTGGCTGACTGGCTGGGTATGATCTGGATCGTGTCTTTAATTGATACAGAACTGAAAGCAACTGAATTCATACATAGCTGTATTTATTGAAACGACTTTTGGAGGTGTTGCCATGAAAACAAATACTGGACAGAAATATTACGATTACTGGCGTGGACACACTGACAAAAAGATCTTAGGATTCATCAAACTTAAAATAACAAAATAAGGATAATCAGTGCCATTTAAATGGCCTCAGTGGTCCTTTAAACCAATGAAATGAAAACATTCAAATGTATAACATTTCCCCTTTTGCAAATTATGTGCGTCATATCAATTTCGTGTTTACCTTCTTTGTTTTTAAAGCCAAAATGCATCCAAGCATCTGACTTGAAATGATATGGAGCCGGGCGAATTTTCTCAGGCACCTCCATGTTTTGTTCACGAATGACTCATCTCAGTATCCCGCGGCCGGACATGCTTGTGACACAAAGCAGCGGGCGTCAACACATTTGCAGCGACATCTGCTGGACTGGAAGTTGTATTCCACTTGATTTGGCTGATGTGCGCCAACCATTAATGTATTTTATTTGTTAATTTTTTTTTATTAAGAATCGATTTTTGCCATCAAGAATCGATGCAGTAGATCACAAGAATTAGAATTGCGATGCATCGATATGACGATTATTTTGCACACCCCTAATCCTTACTGGTTTACAGTCATAAAAAAAAAAAAAAAGTTTACATAAAATAGCCTTTAATAAATCTGCTATAAAGCAGTAAATGATTGGTTGCTGGTTGGGCCCCTGGTGGTCCCTCCTGCCTTCTCAGGCAGAGAACCTACTATTGTGGACAGAAGGAGCAGCTGAACGTCCTGCAGCATCCTGATTGGCTGCAGGTTCAGCGTGGTCGGCTGTTAGGATGATGGATCCGTTAACCTTCTGTGTTTTTGTTCTAACAGAGAAGCAGAAATGCCCAGGACCCGCTCTCAGGCCCCGGTTCAGCCCACCATCCCGTTCCCGCGCCGCAGGTCCTCTAAGACGCTCCAATCCTCTAATGCAACGGAGGCCAAGCCCCCGATTTCTCCGAGGCGGACCGACAGACCGTCCCCCCTGTCGCCGGTACGCGGCGCTGCCACCCAGAGCCGCCTTCCCTCTCCCCCATCTCTGTTTCCACGAAGACCTGCAGCTCAGAACCCCCCACCAACGCCGCCATGCTCCCCCAACCAGCAGGCCAGACTCCCTCTGAGTCCTCGGAAGCGCACAGGTGAGACACGGACCCAGACGGGGACCATCAGGTCGCCTCTTCAGATGAATCCTCCGCTTTGTGACCTCGTTTAGTTTCAGCTGTTTCTTGTTTCCCTCTGAAGGAGACGATAACGGCTGCAACGTGCCGTGTTCCCCCCCGAAGCTCAACAGGTCCAGTCTGGCATCGCCACGGAAACTGGGCTTCGATGAGAACAAGCCGGCGTCCTCTGGTCCCCTGAAGCTGACCCCTCCCTGTCAGCGGCGCTCTCCTCACAGACAGGAAACGCCTCCAGGCAGCCCCGTCCTTAACAACCCAGAGAAGAAGCCCCCCGCCGTCCGCCTGTTTGCAGACAGTAAGACCTGCAGCTCCTTTTCCCCCATGAATGATCAGGATGTGTCGATGGTCTCTGATCTCATGTCCCCCCCCCCCCCCCCCCCCCCTCAGAGTCCAGGTTTCAAAGCGTAAAGCAGGCCCTCCACACCGCCATGCCGGAGCGCCTCCTGTCCAGGGAGGAGGAGCAGGCGTCCATCCGCTCCTTCCTGCAGGACAAGGTGCTGCAGAACGTCCCCGCCAGCCTCTACATCTCAGGGGCCCCGGGGACCGGCAAGACCGCCTGCCTGAACTGCATCCTGCAGGAGATGAAGGTCTGTTCATGAGCAGGGGACGCCTAGTGGAGGCAAAAAAAAGTTAAAAGGGCTTTGAAAAACAGTGGAGTCATAAGATGAACATATTTTTTTATTGAAATAGGACCTCAGGCAGCAGGTTTAACCTCCATATGAATGTAGATTAGTTCCTAAGGTGGATCCACTGCCTCCTCTACTGACCTCTTTTGGATTCTCAACATATTAGTACCCACATTTGCTACTTTACAATTTATTCGCGATCCGAAGTAGCTGAAAGTAGAAAACAATCATTGTCAGTCTTGAAGGAAAGCACTGCATTCTAAGACAGACTGAGCTTTAACAAGAAAAAATTAGCAAAGGCAAAAAGTCTCTGCTTAATTTTATTCTTTTTATTAGAATCTGAGGACAGGGGGGGGCAAATGGGACATCTTAAGACAAATGTAAACCTAGTGTAGCTTAAAGTCTGGCGTACACTATACAATTTTTTTTTTTTTTTTTTTTAGCCCTTTTCAGGGCGACTTTCCAGTCGTGGAAGAATTTTTCGACCGGGCAGACTTTCAGCCTGATGGTGCATTGTGTAGTTAACGGCGAGTAACGAGGGGCGATCAGCCTCACGACCACCTCTCTATCAGGAATCGTAAAGTCGGGAGAACATCAAACATGTTTGGGTGATTTGCCCACAACCGTCGAATGAAAATCTGTTGGCAAACAAGGATTCTTCTTCCTCTCTGATGTAATCATAGAAGCATGGCGGGGGTGCAATGAGAAATAGATTTCTTTCTGTAAAATTGACAGACCGTAGCAGCCACGTTTGCTCAGCCATGTCTTTGTCTAAATACGTCGTCTCCTTTTCTTTTTAGGGCTTTCAGCACCAAATTGCACAAATTGCCAAGGCAGCACGTTCACTCTAGAGAGCTTCATATTCCTCTTCTACTTGTTTGGCTTCAGGATAGACGAGTCAGAGCAGCGCCACCTCACTGCGGAGCTGAGTCCCGCCTGGTTTTTAGACGTACAGTGTGAGCTGTGGACTCACAGCTGCAGCTCACACTGTACTACTAAACCTGCGGTTTAGTAGTACAGTGTGAGCTGCAGCTGTGTGCAACTATTGGAAAAATTCCACATTGTATGCCTGGTTTAATATGGCTAACTGAGCGAGCTAAAAGAGGCTAAGCTGTTACTACTGAGCACAGCTAGCCACAGCGCTACGCAGTTCTTCATATCATGGTACTTTGTTCACCATAAACACAATTTTTTTTTTTTTCTTATTATTCAGGTAAAACTCCATCAGTGATTAGATGTTATTATGGTTGCCTGGGCAACCACAATGTTTCACATCATGTGGCAGCGTTCAGCCCATCATGTAGCGTAACGTCACTGACATGAAGCAGGACCAGAGCAGATCTGGTTCCTACAGCAGCTTAACGTCTCTTCATCGTCTCCTCCTCTTCCTCCAGGCTGAGCTGGCGGCGGTGAAGACCCTGGTGGTGAACTGTATGACCCTACGGAGCTCTCACGCCATTTTCCGTCTGCTGGCCCAGCAGCTGAAGACCAGCGGTGGACAGAGTGGCCTGCAGAGGTTCCTGACGGCCCCGGGGCCCACTGTGTGAGTAAAGCTGCTGCTCTGACTGAACTCTCTGTTTTTAGGTCTGTTTAATGTTCGGTTGATGTTTAAATCTTTTTTTTTTCCTGTTCAGACTCCTGGTTCTGGATGAAATGGACCAGCTGGACAGCAAGGCTCAGGACGTCCTCTACACCATCTTTGAATGGCCCTACCTGCCGCGGTCCCGCCTCTGTCTCATCGGTAAGTGTTGGGCCCGCAGCATGACAGGTGTGGGGGGGTGAAAACAGTCTGACCGCGTGTCCTTCTGAAGGTATCGCCAACGCCTTGGACCTGACGGACCGCATCCTGCCCAGACTGCAGGCCCAGCCTCACTGTCGCCCCCTGCTGCTGCATTTCCCCCCCTACAGCCGCCAGGAGCTGGCCACCATCATCCAGGACAGACTCTTAAAGGTGGGTGCGGTTCTGCTGGCACCGGCGGTTCTGGCCGGGCTCGTCTGATCAAAGTTCTGCTTTGTGTCTGAAGGCTTCAGCCGAGGGGATGTTGGACTCGTCCGCCGTCCAGTTCTGTGCCAGGAAGGTATCGGCCGTTTCCGGAGACGCCAGGAAGGCTTTGGACATCTGCAGGTAAAGGTTCTGACCCGTTTGCCTCTCCGGTCCGTCATCCGTTACCGGGCCTGACCGGAGCGTCTCTTCTTCCCCCAGGAGAGCAGTGGAGGCTGCAGAGGCAGCTGAACGCCAGAAGACGTCCAATCAGAGCGGGGAAGCTAAAGGTATGGCCCGCTGAGCTCTACAGGGTTACCATAGCAACCATTGGTTCTGACTGTCCGTTCTGTCTGCAGTGGGTCTCCCCCAGGTGGTCAGGGTTCTGTCGGAGGTGTACGGCGACCGCATGGCGTCTCAGAGCGGCGCGGAAGGAGAGAGCTTCCCTCTGCAGCAGAAGCTGCTGGTCTGCTGCCTCCTGCTGGTGATCCGCAGCGGGAAGAGCCGAGAGGTCCACCTGGGAAAGGTAAGGGGGCGGGGCCTCATCTAACCTCTGCATTTAAACAAAAAGTCGGGAAGATTTTCCAAACTCCTCTAGTTTTGCGTATTTTTCTTGTTTTGTTTTCCAATTTACTTGTTGGTACAGTCTAACCTGCTGGGATCTATCTGACCCACGTAGATCTAGAACAACTGATCCGCTTCAATACATCTATCAATAACTGGGTTGTTCTTGCAGCTCCATGAGGTCTACAGCCGGCTGTGCTCCCAGAGGCAGGTGTCTGCGGTCGGGCAGGGGGAGTGTTTGGCGCTCTGCGAGCTGCTGGAGAGTCGAGGAATCTTCGCTTTGAAGAAGAACAAGGAGGCCCGTCTCACTAAGGTACAGAACAACACACAGGTCCACAGGGCCCGTTAGAACTGCATCCTGAAACAGGAAGTGTACTTTGGCTGCTTTGAACTCATTAAGGAATCTGGTCTTTGTTCTGATCGTTAGTGGAACATAGACTCGGTTCATATAGATAACATGACATAGCTCCAGATGTTGAAGGTCCTCCTGAACCTAAAGGGTGGATCAGCTTTTTTTTTTAGCCTGTAATTTTTTTTTACAGGCTAGACAATGTTTCAAATTTAAAATAAATCAATGAAAGCTGTAATATTGAGAAACAACAGCAAATAACAGAAGTAGAAAAGTTTCACTCCACCTGTTCCTATTAAACCTCATTCACTTAAAAATAATACCCCTGCGATATAGATTCTGAAAGGCCTTGCATCAAAAAATACTGTTCAAAATCAGTGTCAAACCTCTTCAAATTTAGAAACAAAGCCTAGTGGTGTTGTTTTACTTTTTTGGAATGACTGACCTGGATGACCGAGAACCTCACCAGCTGCTGCTAATCCCGCCCTAGACTGCAACAAATGAAAATAGTTTTTCACTGACTCTGTTGTCTCGTATAAAATAACAGCATTTTCATTCTACAGCCTCCGTCTCTCTTCTGCTCCTCTAGTTTCCGTGTCTTTGCAATGTGGCTTTCTTCTGATGTTTTTTACTAGTATGCATTATGGAATTAAATGGTATCCCTGTTGGCTGTGACTCCTTGCCTTGTATCTATGCTTCTTTTTCTATGTCTGCTTCTGTCTCCTTGAACCCTAGTCGGCCTCAGCAGATGACCGCTCACACTGAGCCTGGTTCTGCTGGAGGTTTCTTTCTGTTAAAAGGGAGTTTGTCCTCTCCACTGTCGCTACAAGCATGCTTAGTGTGAGGGATTGCTGAAGAGTCAATGAGTCGATGCAATCAGCTGGTTTTCCTGAGATCAGAGGTCTTCAACAGGGGGTGGCGGAGGTACTGCATGGGGTCATGAAAGTTTTGGTTTATTTTTTTTTTTATATTCTCCCTGAGATTTTTTAGATTAATTGAAATGTCTTTAAATCCACATTAAATTAATTCAACCCACTGCAGTAAACAGATCAATGGAGGCAGAAGATGTCTTTCAGTCATCAATGCTCACATTCAGAGACACACAGGAGCTCTTTCAAGCTGGGCACCGTTTTATTCACAACACCTGTCCCATCAACCAGGAATCAGAACTACTTTAATAATCCCAGGGAGAAATTACTTTCGTTACATTACTCCATCAGCAATAGAGTGACTATAGGAGAAGTTTGATACAGTATATATAATTAGGGGGTCCCCGCTCCATCACCATCAGTTTAGGGGACCTTGGCCTGGAAAACGTTGAAGACTCATGCCTTAGATAGAAAACATTGAATCAATCTGACTGGATGATCTGATGAACTGTTAAGTGCCTTGAGATGATGTGCTGTGAAATGGCGCTATAGAAATAAACTGAATTGAATTATCCTATCTGCGCTGCTTTGAAAGACAAAAAGAAAAAAATAAATTTGGACTTATCCAGAATCTCCTGTAGACATTAAGTATGCCAATTAAGCGATGACATCATCGAGCGCCTTTTAGGACAGCCAACACCGCACATCTTGACCCGGTTCATTGTAGCAGATCTGAGGTCTGGCTGAACCTCTACCAGAACTCTGCTTGTCTTCATCTGTAATAGAAACAGGAAGTGACATCACTGTGCCTCCGATGTTCCTTCCTTTAACGGCGGTTCTGCTCTGTGTTCCTGTAGGTGTTCCTGAAGATCGAGGAGAAGGACGTGGAGAACGCTCTGAAGGACCGAACGCTGCTGGGCAGCATCCTGGCTGCTGGCCTTCCTTCATGATCTAGAGTTATTTAAAATGATCCTTTCTAATTTTTTAAGGGATTTTAAGTTTTTTTATTTTTTAACCTGTTCAGTTTTTTGGACTATGAGATGTTCATTTTTTTTTTTTCTGCTGTAAATAAAAAGATTTACAGACTTTTATTGTGTCTTCGTTTTTCCTGCTGAGCTGCGTCTATTTCTGTCCCCTGACCTGATTGGATTACAGCTCGATGACATCATCGAAGCAGAGCTGCTGGGAGCTTCCCACGCCAACCTGCTGGAGATCAGCCTGGAGCCACAGCATCCGTGCAAATAAAAACTGGACCAATAGATCCCAGATCAGAGGATAGAGAGAAAAACTCAACGTGTGACAAAAACTTTATTTAATTCTTACAGTTTCCACATACAAACCAAACACATCTGATTCTTCACAGCAACACTTTACTTTTTAAAGGAGACATGTCTGTGTTTCCAGTACAGACTGGAAGCATCTGCTGGATGTAAAGCTGGTCTCACCACCGTTACCATGGTTACAGTTTAGAGTCGCTCAGTCTGCAGCAGCTCGGCCTGTGATTGGCTGAACATACAGACTCACTTCCAGGCTGAAGCTGCTGCTGTGAGGACGCTAAAATATTCACACCCCTCCAACTTTCTCTCACGCTGATCCTGAGCTGTGATGAGCGTTTATGGGCTAGAGCTACACAAAGTAGAGCCTGACTGAAGCAGAAGGAAAGCTAATAAACCCCCTTTACTCTGATACCTCTAAAAGTCAGATTCACCACAACAGGCTGCATTCAAAGTCGTCTGATAATCAGCAGCTGATGGACTGGCTCTGATTTAATCATTTTAGTCATTAACTGATACTTTGACGTTAATCTGGTCTCTACATCTGCAGAGATTTGGAATCAAACGTTTTCTCTGCTGCCGAACGATTCATTTATATTTCAGAGCATCATCTCCTGCCGCTAAGTTTTTGGACATTGATTTATTTTCTATAAAATAGGATTGATTCACTAAGGATTAACTGTAATCCCATTACATCTGTCTTAAAGGAGTAAATATGCAGATCATTTAGAAGGACCCCTGATCATTAGGAACCAGGCTCCTCCTGGGGGTCATTTCTGCTCAGTATAAACAGCAGATGTTCTGTTTCTGGTGTCAGAGGTTCACAGAGAACCAGGAACCCAGCAGAGCAGCCAGGGAGAGGATTAAAGCAGAGACCTCACCCAGCCCTGATCTATGCATCAGCAGCTGAAACACGGCGTTGGCAGCCGCAGGTGTCAGTAACAAAGTACTAATACTTTGTTACTTAAAAAGAAATTTCAGCTATCTATACTTTACTGGAGTAATGATTCTTTAGACACCTTTTTACTTCTACTCCTTACATTTTAAAAATGCTCCGTTTTTTTTTGTTTTTTTTTTTTCAATTTAAGCTCATTTTCAGCTCATGGTCTGTTGATATTTTAAAGAGATCAAAACCATCAAAATAATTTGTTTCATCCAGACATCCATTCCTTGTGGTTGAACTCGGTGCTGCCCCAACTTGTTGCTCACCACAAAATAAATAATTTTTCCAGATGATGCAAAATTAAATGTGACACTTTTACAATTACTTATCGAACTAAGAAAATGAAGTCTAAGGAAGTTATCATCCAGAGCTGTAGAAAAATGTTCCTTTAATGGAGTACAGCAGTAAAGTTTCTGGCCAGAACATCTTTTCCTCCATTACTTTTACTTTTATACTTTAAGTAGTTTCAAAAATTGTACTATTACACTTTTACTGGAGTAAAAAGCTGAAGTTGATCCTCTAATTTCTATAGAACTGTTTTTAAACATCAGGATTTTTAAATTCATACTTTTGTCACCTCTGCTGGCAGCATCATGTGGTTTATTTTCTCCGGGAGATGAAAGCATAGAGCCTCACTAGGACTGTGGAGCGCAGTGAGCTGAAGGGGTGTGAATACTTACAGGATGCTGGTCCTGCAGCGTCAAACATCAGCTCATCATCAAACCTGCTTCTCTGGGTCAAAGTTAAACAATATTAATGATAAATCAATTAAATAATTTCACATCAACAATAGCAAAGATGATGATTAAAGACAGAGAAGTTGGTTCCCAGACAGAGAGAGAAATAAGACACTTCCTGAAAGACTGGAGCTCAGCGTGAAGCAGAGGCTCCTCCACAGGGATGGAAAACATTCAGAAAGTCAAGCAGGTTCCTAACATTCAGAGTAAACGGAGACGCTTTCAGATGATTGTAGAAATTAGCCCTCAGAGTGACGGAGCTCCATCCAGGTTAACATCCCCCCCACGGCCTCGTCCCTCAGTGCTGTGACTTTACCACTGCATCATAAATAAAGCTCTGTTCTCTAAGAGTGAAATACTTTATAGCCCTCACACTGGAAAAACGATCTAGTTTATTGAATTAAATGTATTTACCCTTAATTTGAGTAGGTAAATGAGATATTTTGCCAAAGGAGTATTTTTACTGTTAAATAAGATACTTAAATAATATGTACTTGAAATAAGACAATGTAATTGTGTTTTATTTTAAATGTAAATTGTTTGTTCCATTGGCAAAATGTCTCTTTTACCTCCGCAATTCAAGAACAAATGCACTTATTTTAAGAAAAAATGACTTATCTAGATTTTGATTTTTTTCCAGTGCAGCATCACTGTTCTCTAAAATCCTTATTTCTAAAATACACGGCCGCGTATCAAAAATATTCTCATTTGGTCCTAAGAAGTGGAAAAGCTCAGCTGCCTTAAAGTGAGGATAGTAACACTGCAAAAAATTACATGTAGGAGAGCTGCTTTCAAATCAAAGTATTTTCCTGGTAAGAAAATCTGCCAAAGATGTCAATCTATAATTTAATTAAGAAAAAAAATATATGTTATACTGTTTTAATTCTAATTATCTTATTTTAAGGTCAGAAACATTCATTCCACTGGTAGATCATCTGATTTAGCTGCTTAAATTAAGTGGAAATATGCTTTTTAAATATTTGTTTTACTTCTTTTTAGATGAGATTTCGCAGTTAAAGGAAAGAAGTGAAATAAATAGTTACGTTTTTTTTTTAAATAAAAGCTTATTTAAAGTAGAGCAGAGTGAGAAACAAAATCCTGCACATTCAGAAGGTAATAGTAGCGCTTCCTTAAAGTCTGCTTAAAAGCTGCAGTGTCCTTCAGAGGCGGTCTGGACTCATCCAGGTAGATCTAGAACATCCAGAGATCCCGTCTCTTCCCCTCAGGTGTGTTTCTGTGAGCTTCAGCCTGCAGCTCCCAGAGATCCTCTGATGCAACATGGTTGAACTTATGCTGCTGCCTCTGAGGCGGAGAAGTTAGCAGGGTTATGCTGAGTCACTGTTAGCAAACATTATCTGGTGCTAAGATTCTCTGTAACTCTAGATCTAATTATATAGCTCTGGTTTAATATAAGAAAACAATCTGTTTGTTTAATGCTTTTAAAAATTGTTTCATTTTCTAACACTTTATGAAAAGTAATAAACTAAAGTGAGTCGATATCCTGAGGACAGAGATCAGTTCCTCCTCTGATTTTAAAGGAGAATAAACCTTCAGATGAATTCGTCTGATCTGCCTGCAGCAGGATCTAGTAATCCACCAATCTGTTTGTCTGGGGAATAGATATGATGTGACACAGAGAGCGAGGAGCTCTGACGCCGAATCCCAAACTGCTCCCTAACCACTAACCCTTAACTATCAAGTGTCACCCACAAAGTCCCAAACTGAGCAGTAGAAGGCGTCTGCATCGGATGTGGGGGGTACACACCTGAATGGGACGGCTTCTTCCCTCCAAGGAAAAGAGAAAAGTAGTTGTTGCTATGGCAACAGTGACGCCTCATGTGAGTGGCTGTAGCTCTGTGGTGAAGGTTAACATAACATCAAACTTTTACTATTTAGGAAGAAATGACGTCTTTTTTAATTTTCCTAACTTGTGATTTTTTTATTCAAAGGCGAAGATGCAGCAAACCAGCGGAACTTACATTTGAATGCACGCCCCAAAAGTTAGAAAATTTCTATTTAAAAACAAGAAATCGTGTCTTAAAATCTGTTTTTTTTTCTTGTTGTCTTCTGCAGGCCAGTTAGTTATCCATCAGCCTGAACACCTAAATTCGGCCAATCATATATCAACGGTCATCTGTCAATCACATTTTTTCAGTCATAGCATCTTGATTCATATGTCGCAGCTAATATACGCAACGGTTGAAATCAGAATCCTTTCCTTTCCCATTGAGTTGCGTCCCAGTGTTAGCGGGGATGGACGTCTGTGTCTTCAGCAGGCGTAGAGCTAACAGAACTGGCAGCGTTGCGAGGCAAGGGCTCAAACATGTACGGCTGGAAGCCTTCTACACCAAACCAAGCTTCTGCCGCCCTGGCGTCCTCTTCCACAACATCTTCGTCCCCGCTTTCCTCCTCTAAATAAAAAATGGATGATAGAGGAGACTCATCCACGACCTCCGACACTAAACTCTCCTCCTCTTGCATGTTTCCTCTGTCCATAGCGTTCCTTGACAGCGTCGTTTCTAAGTCACCAATTTAGTGCTACTTGGTCCCAATGGAATTTACTATTGGGAACCTGCTAGCACTAAGTTGCTAACTGGTTAGCAAGATGCTTCCGACACACTGTCCACAATCAAAGAGAAACTGGCCACAATCAAATTTGCTTGTGAAGCTTCCGCCAGAACAATCACGCCCCCTTGATAATCGACCAATCACATTCACTTTATACATTCATGTGAAGTTGGGCACCACTCGGGAGAATTCAGAAATGCAACGGTTGGAACAGCCGCTTCCCTACGACTTTAAGGGCTAAACGGTTCACTGGCCCTACCCACTACATCAGGGGTGGGTAATTCCAGTTCCTGAGGGCTGGTATCCTGCTACTTTTAGATTCACCCTTGGTCCAACACACCTGATTCAAATGGATACGTTAAATCCTCAGAATGCAGTCAGTTCATCCAGAGTCCTCTCAATTATCTCATTACTTGATTCAAGTGTGTTGAACCAAAGGGAAATCTAAAAGTTGCAGGATATCGGCCCTCAGAAACTGGAATAGGCCACCCCTGCACTATATGGTTTGGGATGGCCTTTAATGCGGCAGACCCTCCGTGGAAATGCACAGATGGAGGGTTGGTGCTCAGGGTTAGTGTTTAGGGGCTGGTCTGGAATTCAGCCTCAGAGTGAGCAGGTGTGGAGCCCCTATGGAGGGAATGTTGGTTAATTATTGATGCAAAAAAAAACAACTTTAGTAAATGGAAATTAGAATTAAATGAAAACCAGAAATGGATTTTTGAAAAACATTTTAACAAAATAATAATTTTTTTAAAAGTGCATATTTTCAAATATTTTTTCCAAATGTCTTTTTTTTTACTAAGTTTTATGATTTACATTATTTTAAAATAACATCTTATAGATTCTCTCCTGGTGGGACGAGATAAAACAATAAAACGATGAAAACTTGATCAAAAAGGAAACTGAAAATATAAAATCGTAAAACAAAAATACATAAATAAAAATGTTAGAAACATTTAATCTAAAAACCTTTTTTTTGTTACGTTTTTCAAAGTCTGGTTTCTGCTTCGCATCTAATTCAACTTTCCCTGCACTAAACGTCTTCTTTGAATGGATAATAGGCCAACATTCCCTCCATGACCTCAGAGGCTCCTCCTCTCTGCTGGGATTTGAACTGAAAATGTGTTTTGGTTGAAAAACCGAGTTAAAAGATGGTCGATAGAAAAACAAGACTGAAGTGGATCTGCTGACTCACTGCTGGCATTCAGCAGGACGGCCATGCTGAAAAATCTGACCTGAACACGTCGACTCAAATCATGGGGAGAATCTGCTGCAGCAGCTAAAGATGAATTCATCCAGAGATCAACACATCTGTCAGTGTCTGAGTGTTTACAGGATTTATCTGATGGAGAAAGATAAAAAAAACACTGGAATCAGCCCTGTTCTGGCTACAAAAACCCTCACTCTGGCCTTGTGTGGCCTTGCAGGTTAAACTGACTGAGTATAAAACTGTGAGTAAATAGCATGAATCTACGACGGAGTATTAGGGCCAGGCTAGAGATTTTTTATTTCTATTTTAAGAATAAAACCATAAAATTACGAGAATAGTCGCAATGAGAATAGTCATAAAATTACAAGAATAAAGTCGTAATATTAAGAGAATAAAGTCCCAAAATTATACGAGAAAAAAAGTCGTACAATTATTAGAATACAGTCCTAAAATTACAAGAATAAAGTTACATTTTATGACAACTCTTGAAGTTATACTTTGGCTCTGGTTACATAAATAAGGAAATCTTTTAGCAGCAGCATCAAACTGGGCAGGATGTCAAAGTGGACTATCAAAGTTGCTGATTGGTGGAGCTGGTCGGCCGTCATCTGCTGGGCGGAGCTCAAAGATTTCTTTCTGAAACGGGTTGTGATATGATGACTTCATTCTTGAAGTATTACGGCTTTATTCTCGTAATATTACAACTGTATTCTCAAAATTTAAAAAAATAAAAAAATCTCTAGTCTGGCCCTAATACCCCTTTGTAAAAATCAATTTATGAAATAAGTGAAATTTAAATTTTCCTAACTAAATTGGTCTCTAAGTGATGTTGACCCAGCAGAGATTAGTGTTTTTATTCTTTAAATCTAAGCTGATCTCATGTATAATCTGCTCATTAATCTGAAACCGATCATCTGGAACTGATCTGCTAGATTTAACTCAGAATATTTCCTTTGAACCAGCCTCCTGAAAGGAAATGAAACAGAAATGACCTCAGAGGATTCATGCTGATCAGAAATAACCAATCAGATTATTTTCATTTGAATAGAAATCGAATATCTGAATAAATGGAACCTTGGTTTGGATGATTTGTCCACAGGGAAAAGCCTCTTTCCCATCACCCTAATCTTTAGCTGCCTTCATAGATCGCTTCTCCTAGATTGGCATTTAAATTCTGCTTCTCTCTGGGGTGGGGTAGGGGGTGTTCCTGACCAGTTTAAAGCTCTCCTGCTAACTTCCCCCCTCGTCCTCATCAGGCTCCTCTGGTTGATGAGGAAACTCTGTGGGGGAGGGGCCTCTACCTGAGGCGGGCAGAGAAGCAGCGCATGTATTCTGTCGTCCAGCGGTCGTCGGCGGCGGCCATGGTCAGCTGAGAGCGCCGTGTCTTCTCCAGGTCGGCGGAGCGGGCCCGCCGGCGGTCCAGGTTGGAGCCGCTCCGGTCAGGCTGGTCCTGAACGCCGGTGGCGTTGGTCTAAAGGGGAGCAGACAGAAGGCTGCCTGATGAAAACCACACCGTGTGTTTTATTATTTACAGGCTGGGTGTCTAATGACAGAGCAGAGATAAAACCTTCATCCACGTTGAGCAGAAAGATATCACAGAATAAAACAAACTACCTCTAATGTTAGTAAAATATAAACAAACTAAAGCGGAATAAGAACAAATATAAAAAGTTTTAACTGCTTCTTTTTCACATCCTTTAAAACCACACAGCCTAACTAAGTAGTTACATTTACTAGGGTAAAGCCGTACTATTGGTACTCTTTACTTTCCCTTCAGCAGAGATGGCAAAAGTACTCACTTTCCGTACTTGAGTAAAAGTACAGATGCTTGTGTTAAAAAATACTCTGGTAAAAGTGGAAGTACTGATTAAACTTCTTTACTCAAGTAAAAGTAACAAAGTACAGGCTTGTAAATTTACTTAAAGTATAAAAGTAAAAGTAGAAACCACTTTTTTCATGCCGTTGCCTACATTTTAAATGGATGTCTGCCTATAGGACTAGATCTCCGTTGTGTTCATTTTCAATCATCTTGTCATCCATGCTACTATGCTAACGCCACCGCCACCAAGCTGCAATGATTTGCCGCGAATGAATACCGCCGAATCTGTCGATTCATCTTGTAGTGGTGCGTCAAATGCAACGTAGATTCCCATCCAATTAGATTGAATTTGGTATTGATGACGTGAAAAATAATAACGGTAACTCCATTGAAATGATTCAAAACTAAAGTAACGAGACAATTTTAAAAAATGTAAGGAGTAGAAAGTACAGATATTTGTGTAAAAATGTAAGGAGTAGAAGTAAAAAGTCGCCATAAAAATTAGTAGTAAAGTAAAGTAAAAATATCAGAAAAATCTACTTGAGTACAGTAACGAAGTATTTGTACTTCGTTACTTCCCATCTCTGCCCTTCAGTGATATTCTGTCAGAGAATCAATCGTTTCTGGTTCCTTTGCCCCTCATGAATAATCTGAGCTCCTCAGAGATCAGGTAGAGCTACAGACAGTAGATCTGATGCTACGTTCAGACTAGAAGCAGCAGAAGCAGCAAAAACGCGCCTGCTGCTTTATTTCTGTACAGCTGTGCGGTCAGAAAGTGGGTCTGATGCGCGCTGGGTGGAGCTACTCTATCCTTTATTTACCTGGAACAATAGCAGCTATATTTGCTGTGATCAGTGGGAATAAAGTAGTTTAAATATGTTTTTAAGTGAGAAATTCCACCTGAAAACTTCATCTATGCAGTCAGTTCATCCAGATTACCATCCTGCCTTCAAATATTATTCCTCTGTGGGAGCCGCTCAGACCCCCACATACCGGCGGTGCTCTGTCACTGGGAATCCCTTTCAACAGCAGCCTCTGGCCCGGTCGCCTCTTTGTGGTTTTCCACTACTTTTCACAGCAGCTGGAAGGTGTTTTACATGTACCTAATCCAAACTGCAGCACCGGGATGATAAAATCGAACATATTTTGCTGCATATTAAGTGAATGTAGGCTTTAATAAACTATTTCAGAGTGATCATAGCGCTCTGCATCAGCAGTGCTGTGTCTGTCTCCCTGCCAGCTCCCAGATCAGCTTCTCTGATTGGTTGATGCGGCGCATCCAGCAAGTTACAATTATTCCAACCTCAGCTGATGCTGCTGCTTGTAAAGCTCATTGCAGGGTTCAGATGCTCAGAAGCTCATGATGCCCCTGCTGCTCTAGATGCACTGCAGGACCTTTTGCAACCATTGACTTTGCATGTAAACCTGCTGCTTCTGCTGCTTTCGGTCTGAATGAAGCATTATAGCTGGAGGCTCTTTGTCTTTCCCTCTATAACGCATCACTTCCTGTAAGGATGGGCTTACAAGCTAAAAACTGTTTTTTTTTCTTCCAGAATACATTTTCTAATCATGTCATTTAGTTTGTTTAAATGATTTCAAACATTAAATCAGATGTTTTAGTTCATCAGGAGCAGCTTCTCTCTAACTTTAGTGAAACCATGTTAGAGCAGAGCATCTCTAACTCGAGTAAAAGTTCTGGTTCTCTAGCGGTTCTGCTTCTGGGTTTCATGTAGATGAAGGAAAGGAAGAGAAATAAAAGCTCTGCTTCAGGGTCATTCAGACCCAGAAAAAGGATTTTAAAATCTGTTTCCCTTTTCATCCTGCTGGTTCTGATAACAGCCGGTTACCTCTGGGTGTCTCTGGGTCCAGTCCATCCTGGAGGACGGTCTGCGGTGGCCCTTGCTGCTGATGGCAGGTTGGCTCTTGGCCCTCGGTGGTTTTTGGATCGTGGTCGGATTGTTGTCCAGGGAGCTGTCCCGCCGCGCCGGCACAGAGCGAGGGGCGCGGCAGCGGTGCCGTCTCCGTGGCGCTGGCTTCACCGGCTTCTCGTCGGACGACTCTGAACCGTCAGGCCTGTCGTCTGTGTCATCTGAGGGCCCGCTAATGTCTGCAGGGACGGCCCCTGAAGCTGCCAGGGGCCACTTTACATCATTCTCTACAGCAGCTGAATCTGAGGAACACAGACGGGGAGGAGGATGAACACAAGCTGCGTCTCCATGGCAACATAACTGTGTGTACTACAGCTGATATGATGTAGGCCAAGAACCGGGTGGGGGGGCATCCAGTTCCACCAGTACATTGGTGGAAGACAAATGCCAATGGTTACCATGGAGACAGGATACATCCCTCTGATCTCTAAGGCAATTCCTTTATTTATCTGCAGCCTGGGAGCCTCTGCTGTAGAATAGATGGAGGCTAAAAAATGAAATGCTTGTTTATTGAAATTATTATTATTATTTATTATATATAGGCAGCCCCTTTTTCATCATTCTATCTCTATTCTCCCACTCTGCAGAATCTATTAGTTCAATCTCTAACGTTCTGCTCTCTCTGCTTTTTCTCATAGTAGCTTCATCTGGTCTGTTAATGTTTGGCTGTGACTCCATCCTGGAGAGAAACATCAGCTGTGCTGCTGCCATCCACACCTTTGATTATAGATGTTGGAGATCGGCCTGTTTTTCAGTGTAGTCCTGTTTCTCTGACTGTGACTAACTGGATGTGCTCTCTTCATCCTCTGACATGGGAGCTGGCTCAGAGCTCGTCTGCCTGGCTGTGTGTTTCCTGGACGGGGCCGCCTGTGGAGCTGGTTGACAGGCTGGGTGTCTATGCTTCTTTTTCTATGTCTGCTTCTGTCTCCTTGAACCCCAGTCGGCCTCAGCAGATGGCCGCTCACACTGAGCCTGGTTCTGCTGGAGGTTTCTTCCTGTTCAAAGGGAATTTTTCCTCTCCACTGTCGCTACAAGCATGCTTAGTGTGAGGGATTGCTGAGAGTCAATGAGTCGATGCAATCAGCTGGTTTTCCTTAGATACAAAACTTTGAATCAATGTGACTGGATGGTCTGGTGAATTGGAAAGTGCCTTGAGATGACACGTGTCATCTATAGAAATAAACTGAATAGAATTAAAAAACACCAGAAACTTCAGAGGTTTTATCAAAGAACATCTTGAGTGGATTTTACCAGCAGAAAGACATGAACAGAAGGATGGTTTTAAATAAATTTTTCTTTTCATTAGGTTGAAAACTTCGTTTTTTTTTATTCATCATTTTGTACAAATAAAATCCTATAGAAAAAAAACTTAATCTTTATGTAACATTTCATTTTTTTCCTCATTATAAAACCTAAAATTACAATAATTACTGTTGTTGTATAAAATGGGGGAATATTTCCTGCAGCAGATCCTCACTGTGAGAATAAGACGTGTTTTATTCAAAGATCCTTGGATATCAGCATTTTCTATTTAGACTCAGGATAAAATGTTTCTTTTGATTTCATAGATCTCTGGATTAGAGCTTTAAACAAGGCGACCTAAAACCACTCAGGAGGATCAGCAGAGACTGGAACACTTTAAACCAAACTGGTTGGTTGTCTTGGTAACAGAGATAACCCAGTTTGTGTCAGAGCTTCCTAACCTGCTGGAGCTGCTGCATCTACAGCAGGAGGTTCTGCTGGTTCTCCCTCCGGCTTCACTCCAGGACCGGTCTTCCCCTCCATCAGCCTGTGTCTGACCTCTGAGCAGGGGGCCGGCGGCAGAGACAGAGGGGCCACTCGGTTCCTGCTGGGTCTGGGCGTGGACCGGCCGCTGGAGTCGGACGCGCTCTCCCAGCCCTCCCAGAACCAGGGCTTATGGGAATGCTCCATCAGCCGGCGGGTCAGGCGGTACTTCAGAGAGTCCTCGTAGCATTTAGAGAACGTCTCCCATTTGGGATCCCTGAACTTCTTCATGTACTCCGTCCTGACTTTCTTGGTCACCATGATCCCTGGTATCCAGTCTGTTAGTAGAAGTTAACCTGAAATGGAGATAAAACACCCCATTAAAAACCAAACACACAGGATCAGAGCGCTAACAGTTACCGACCCGGTTCAGATGGAAAAGCTGGGCCAGTCTCTGCTGCTAACTGGGGAGGCAGCTGGGGAAGGTTTACCTCATAAACCTGATAGATGGATGTGAACAGCTGGACCAAATCATTTTAATTACTTCACTTAATGAAATATCTTCACCTAATCCTAAAACAGATCAGCATGGACGACCTGATCATCTATCTGTGTCCTCAGACTGACAAGCTTGAGCTCTGGAGGGAAATTATCCAATATAGATACAGATGGAGCCTGAATACGGCACATTTCTACACAGATCAGGTCAAAAATACATTTTATTTTCTATTCAGTTTATTTCTATGAGCAAATTCACACAGATGCCATCTAAAGGCTCTTTACTGGAACAATTAAACAGTTCACTCATTGGGCTTTGCAGGACTCCTCCAGGAGGAGCTTTAGGGTCAGCAGACAAACCCTCTCACTGAGCAGCCAGGCAAAAAAATCAGTTTTAACTGGAAGAAACGTTCAGCAGAACCAGAACCAGGCTGTGAGCAGCTGTCTGCTGAGGCAGACTGGGCTTCAAGGAGACATAGAAAAGGAACATAGAAGCTGTGATCTATAAATTATTTCTATATTACATTAAACTAGCTCCACAGGAGCTCTATCTGGGAGAGAAGCAGCTAATCAGCAGAGCTCTGAGACCGTTTTAGTGTCAAAGGATGAAGAAGAGAACATCCAGTTAGTCACAGTAAAAGCTCAGCCCATAGGAGAGAAACAGGACTACACACTGAAAGACAGACCCATGGGTGGTTCTATAGGGGGCCAGTAGGGGCTGGAGCCCCTATAGAACTGGTTCTGGACCCGGTCCTAAAGATAACTAAAATGAATTCTTTATGAACATCTGGAACAGAAACCATCATTGATCTATTTCTTATTTTCATCTTCATACTTTTATTTCAACAATGATTTAAAAATGTTGTATTTTGAGCTTCTGTAAAAATGAGACAGGATCACTAGATCAGGGCTGCACTGATTACAGCTTTCTGACTGATCATTACAAAGCCTGAAATGCTGATTTTCTTTTTTATCTTTGATCCTTTAACAGATGTAATAGGAGCACAAACAATATCTTTAATGCTTCAATCCTATTCTATTGATATAAAAAGAACAATAGCTGTGAAATGATACATATATCTGTTTTAACTGCACAAAATAAAGCTTCACAAGTAGAAATGAAATGTTTAGAGCCTGGATTGGGGCAGATTAGTTTACAGAGGTAGATATGGTTGGTGCTTAAGATCAGTTTAAAGTATCGGCCAATCACTGATCTCCAAAACATAAAAATAGTTTTTGATCTGTAATATATGGTGTCTCTATTCTATAAAAAAATAATCATGTAACTTTTATCCTAAGTCCTCTGTACAAGAAATTATATATATATATATATATATATATATATATATATATATATATATATATATATATATATATATATATATATATATATATATATATATATATATATATATATATATATATATATAGCCCAGTTACTTTGTCAGGTCATCAGTGCATCACAGGCTCCCACAGAGGAACAGAACATTCACAGCCAACATGTGAAGCTAAAGCAGGAAGTCAGCAGCTCTGAATTCAAATGTTTTTCATCATTTCAGTCACCAGTAGAAGATCTAAACTTTGATGACGTCTCTAGGCTGGCGCTACCTGGTAGCCCCGCCCACCTCTCCATCCTAACAGCTTAGCCTCTAAGCAGAGGAGGATTGAGGCTTTACTACACCTGATCTGTAGCCTTCCCTCTGCATGGACTGCCTGGCTTTAATGGCTGCACACCTGCGATGGGTGGAGAAACTATTGATTAATAATTAATCCTTTCATCTAAAGCAAACACCGGAACAACATGTTACCGTTAGAAAACCTTACAGGTAAAAATAAGAGAGGCAAAGAAGAGCTGATGTCTGGAACTACCGACAGCCTGACAGGCTGCCAGAGCCGCTCAGCTAAAGCTTCGGTTCGGATAAACCCAGCTGACAGGGAGGGAGGGTTGGTTCCTCCACTTACCGCAGGGGTCCAGTTTTGGTTCGGTTCGGCTTTCAGGCGGTCAGCATCCTCACCCAGCTGACTGACAGCTACAAACTATGGAGCTGAGCTAGTGAAGCTAGCAACCAAACACACAGCTTCCGCTCCGCTTTCACAATAAAAGCCTCCTAACAAAATAAAAAACAAAAATTCTTCTTTAACAATATTTAAATTGAAGAAATACGTGATTATTAAACCATAAGGATATCTATAGACAAGCTGATAAATAATTATACCATCCTAACTGTTCAAAGTTACAGAGCCGCGAGCTTTATTTTGAAAAATAAGTTTGTAGCTTCCGTTTTTTGTTGCTTTATATTCAGGAATACGACGTAGAGATGTTTTGATAAATGATTAAAAAAAGATGACGATCTCTATGAAAAAAGTAGGAACTGAACAGCGCATGCGTGCTCTTGGAGTGGGCTTTAAATATACCATTAGAAAAAAAAGGCTTTCCACTTGTTCCTGCCTTCCCACTCCATAAAGGGCTTTTCCACTAAATACAATATAAAGAATATACGTGGAAATAATTAGATTAATCATCTACAACGAGGGAGAAGATGGTATCTGAATCCAAACCTCTGAATAATTAGAAAAAAACATAGATCAAATAAAATATGCAGTTTGGCAGGAGGGTATGAGGTGTGCATCAACAACAGACAATTTAATAAAAGGGGAAAAATGCAGTTAAAAACAATTTAATTCAGTTTATTTCTATAGCAACAATTCACAACATACGTCATCTAAAGGCACTTTACAGTTCACCAGATCATCCAGTCAGATTGATTCAAAGTTTTCTATCTAAGGAAAAGCATTTAACTCGAAGGCAATACACAGTAAGCATGCTTGTAGCGACAGTGGAGAGGAAAAACTCCCTTTTAACTGGAAGAAACCTCCAGCAGAACCAGGCTCAGTGTGGGCGGCCATCTGCTGAGGCCGACTGGGGTTCAAGGAGACAGAGGGAGAGATACAAAAGGCAACTGTAAATCAGCTCCACAGGCGGCACAGTCCAGGAAACACACAGAGGTGTAAAATAACTTGAGCCCGTAGGCAGCAGTGATGGTTATAAAGTCAACCAGCAGCTAAGAGGAAGAATCAGTCATAGTGCTTTACTCAAGGAGAACCTTCCTGCATGGGAGAGGCATAGTCCAGCAGTGATGTTATATTATTTTTTCACAGTCTTCTGGCCTTCCTGATGTGCTTATCTAAAATCCTCGTCTTTGTGGTAAATAAGGTGCTGTTCCAACAAACTACACCATAATAGCAGCTAAAGCCATCAGAGCCTTCCTTTTCAAAAGCTATAGTCATATTTCTCCAGTTTATTGGTCAGGTGAACACCCTGGGACTTACAACAACCCACAACTTCAATGTTAGTTTCCCGGATGTTGACCAGTGTGGTGGGTCTGTGATGGTAGAATTCCACTACCTGCTAATTTGGTTTTCAGATGGCTTCAGACATTATGACCACCACACAGAGCCAGCACAGAGAAAACCTCTAAATATTCATGCTCTGTCAGGAAGAAAGCTATCAGATGACTCAGGTTAGAATGACAAAGTAATTTCTGATATTTAGATAGTAAGCTAACATTTTTCTCAATAAATCCTTGAAAAACATTGAGCTGTATGAAAAATTAAATTGTTATCATTTATGATTTAACAGAAATCTTTACTCCCAGAGTGGCGGTTTATTGGTTCCAAGAATTTCAAGAATAGGAGGCAGATTTTTAGTTATCAGGCTGGAACCTGATATCTGGATCCAGCTACCAGTTTTAGTCTGTGAGGCAGACACCCTGTCTACTTTTAAAACGTTCCTTTTTGATAAAGCTTATAGTTAGAGTGGCTCAGGTTATCCTGAGCTATCTCTATAGTTATGCTGCTATAGGTTTAGACTGCTGGAGGACATAGGGACCAATTTTCCTCCTCGATTTTCCTATTACTCTTAATTTGTTTAACTGTCATCACATTTTTTTTTAAACAACGACTTTAAGTTTGGTAAACAGATAGTCTTTAACTGAATTCACTTATATCGCCTTCAATTTCTAGATCTAATTAACCAAGTTTTTATCTCCTTAGAATAATCAATGCATGAATCGTGTTTTAAATGCTACCATAATGAGCTATTTCCTGCTGCTAACTACACTCCTAAGACCTTCACAGTGAGTCTAAAATGCAGAAGCTAAGTTTTAGCAGATAAATATCAGATCAACATTGCTGCGATTTTGATGATATATATCAATATATACTTTGAAAGGTACTCTGGTACACTGAACAAATCTACCTTGGTGACTTATGTCAACTTTGGTTGTCTTACATAATCTTTTGACATGAATGTATTTTTTGTGCTTATACGATTCTAGAAATGTATAATTGTTATAGGTTCTGTGCTATATAAATGTACTCTGTGTCTGATTCCAGCTATGTACAGTACTTTGGAAACAGAGACTAGTGCATCCTAAGGATAAAACCCCCAGACCTATTATGAATGGAGTGTTGTCTGCAGTTCAGTGCAGTGAGGAATGCTCTGATCTTTATATTGGAGAAACCAAACAACCTCTCCACAGACGGATGACCAAACACAGAAGAGCGCCCTCCTCTGGACCAGACTCTGCGGTACATCTACACCTTTTGCACAAAGGACATTCTTTTGAGGACCAGAATTTTCACATTCTGGATAAAGACAATAGGTGGTTTGAGAGGAGCGTGAAGGAAGCCATCTATGTTAAGAAAGAAAAAACAACCTTAAACAGAGGAGTTGGACTCAGATTTCAGCTTTCAAAAACCTGCAATGCAGCAATTGAGTTGATTCCTTCCTGCTATCATCATAACCCCAAACCCTTTACAGAGGAACAGAAGACCTCGGCTATTCAGCCAGGCCAACAATTCCCTTTGACAACCCCCCTTTCAGAGACATAGGCAGGTACCGGGCCTGGCAGGCTAACAAAGAAGCCAAACGACCCCCATTCCAAAGGGGTGGACCAGTTTGTCTGTTTCAATTTGCATGTTTTCTATACAAAAAGAGCCTTTGTTGTGGTCCACTCTATAAAGCCTTAAACTCAACGCTATTTCTGACATTTTGGATTGAAAAAGCTTCCTTGGTGGGAAGAGAAATATCTTCAGACTTTTCAGACATTTTTGGAATACTTTGGAAACTGATTTCTTAATCATGCTCTATAAAGATAGGTACTGATTTATGAATTATTTAGACTTCTTGCTGACCTTTTCTTTGTATTCTGTTTATTCCTCTCTATAGAAGAAAACCTCGGCATTCACTCCTCTCTCTTTCCAGAAAGGAACAATCTACTGATGCTTGCTAAACATTTTGTTCTACTATTCTGTGTCCTTCCATGTTTGATCTGGTCTGTTTTCTGGGCAAAACCACCAAAACTGCTGCTGGGAATTACACTACGAAAACCTGCTGTGTTTTCCATCCTTAGACTGCATTACTAACTCAGAGCTAATCTGTTTAGCTGTTTGGTCCCAGATGGAGCCATTCATTGAGCCTTTGCGTATTGAGTATCTGTGGCGCAGCAGACCACCACTCCTGTGAGGATCCATCCCTGATAAAATGGTTTCTCAATGCAAAGTTCAAATCTAGATTTAATCAGACCAACTTCCTTTGTTATCTTTACACAACCTTGAGTTTGATTGTATACTTCAGGATATTGTTGCTCAATAAAAATAAAGGAATTCAAAGTTTTCTTTTCTTCAATGCACAGATGATTGTTTAAAAATGAATCCTGGGGCAAATCTAAACACAAATTCATGTGATTAATTTATTTTTTTACATTTAACTGTTTATTAGTATTTTTCACAGTTGTTTACACAGTGTACATGAACACTTCACATTCAACATAACATAAAACCTTTGCTTGGGAGCTATTTCTCTATTCACCTTTGTCCCAACTAGTTGATCTAGTTCTTTATTTTTTTGTCGCTGTCTCTTGTCTTGAAATTTGTCCATTTCTTCCAGTTTGCTGAATTCTCAAACGATGTGTCTGTTTTTCCATAATGCAGACTTCCTCTATTATTCCAGTCTGAATTCATATGAATTTTAAAAAGTTACTACAAGTTTGCCACTTAAAGATGGAAAAGTGTAGAAGTTCATAAAGCTTCTGGATCAGATTTTCTGTGCTGGTGGCGAAACCTTCAGTACTGGAGCATCTCTGGAACATTTACATTTACCCATTAAAAATAGAACATTATTTATGTTTTGGATCAAAACTTTATCCTTTAATCAGCAAATTAAAAATCTTTAAAAACTGACAGAGCATCACCGACCTTCTCAGGCTGGATCTACAGCGTTCCTGCAGTTAAACCTTCAGCTGGTTCACCTTCAAGATCCAATGAGCAGAGGTGCCTAAAGTATTCATGTTTATTACTCCAGTAGAATAAAGCCTACTGTTTAAAAACACTTTAATAGAAGTTAGAGAATCAACTTCAGCTTTTTACTCCAGTAAAAGTTTAAAAGTACCATTTTTAAAACTACTTAAAGTATAAAAGTAAAAGTATTGCAGAAAAAATGTTGAGGACAGAAGCTTTACTGCTCTACCCTATTAAAGGAACGATGATAACTTCCTTAGACTTTATTTTCTTAGTTTTATAACTAATGGTATCAGTGTCACGTTTAACTTTGCATCATCTTGAAAAATCATTTTATTTTGGTTTGTGATGAACAACAAGTTGGGGCAGCACCGAGTCCAACTACAAAAAATTGTCTGGATGAAACTAATTATTTTTGATGGTTTTTATTTATTTAAACACCAACAGCCACAATGATCATAAGCTTAAATGAAACAAAACTAACAAGTCTATTTTTAAAATGTAAGGAATAGAAGTTAAAAGTTGTCTAAAAATAATCACTCCAGTAAAGTATAGACAACATTCCTCCTTAAGTAACAGAGTATTTGTACTTTGTTACTTCACACCCCTGAAACTGTGGTCAGGTTTCAGGAAATCCAAAACTAGAGAAACTAGAGTTTTGGAAAAAGGGAGCGGATCTAGTAGAAAAAACAGAACATTTTATTTTGACCCCAAAAAATAGTAAATTTATGGATGTCCATTTTGGGATTAAAGAAACATCCCAGTGT